GGGGGGGGGGCAAGACAGCAGTGCAAAGATCAGCGGCGAGTCTGTCTGTCTAAATCTCTCATCTGCCTCGGTGCGCATACATGCACCTCGCTGCCTGTCATCCCTCTCGACACCCTACTCGGACCTGCACATGCATCGCCCACTGACCAGGTTTAGGTTCGACCACTTCGAATATCCTCCAAAGCTCCCTCTGCCACTCTTCCCAGCCCGCTCCACCAGGTGTAGCCTTGCTGGTGTCCAAATGAGGAGGATCCCAAAGATAGACTTGCCCATTGAGGAAGATGACGGGTTGTTGAATGACCAAACCATCGTCCAGCGTGATGCTGCTATCCGACATGGACTTGACCACGATGGGCTGCGACTCTTCCGATTCTAGCAGATTGAAAAAGTCGCTGTGCAGGCGTGGCGTGGCGTGCGGGAGAGGAGAGGAGAGGAGAGGAGAGGATCAGCGGCAGACCGGGATTCGAGGGACTCGAAAGCCGTGCGTGCGTGTGTGCGCGTGCGCGCTACACTACGCATCGCTTCGCTTCGCTATGCTCACTCGTAGATGGTGCGGTGCGATCCGTCGTTTGGTTTGCCGCCGGGATCGTCGGACCTGAATCTCTGCGCAGAAGTGTGTATGTGCTTCCCAGCGGCATTCAAGGAGCGCGAGGGGCTGGAAGAAGGACGAGCGGGGCTGCTTGATGCGCTGAGAGATGTGCTCTGGCGTGCTGCAGCCGGCGAGGGCGTTGAGAAAGGCAAGTTGCTGGCGACGCTCAGGATAGCGCGCGCTCGAACATGGCCGTTTCGCAGGGCGTGCGCTGCCATTGTGGATAGCCAGCCAGACGAGGGACGGGCACAGTGAGCGGTGGGCAGAAAGAAGATCTGTGAACGCGAGGCGAGATGTGCGAAAGTGCTGATGTGCGCAGCGTGTGGTGTCGTGCGTATGTTGTAGAGTAGGAGACAGTGTGTGTGTGTGTGTGAGTGAGTGAGAGAGAGAGTCTGAGTGGACTGGAAGAAGGGGGATCATGATGAGGCAGCCGAGTCTCGCAACCCTCCACTTTTCACCTTTACCGCCTCGCTCGTCAGATCACGTGCGTGGGCCATACAATCGCGAATCAAAAGTGCCAAGTTGATTCCAATCGCGCGCCGCTCTTTGGCTGAAGCACGCAGCACGCACGCATGCATGCAAGGCCGCTTTCGACTCACGACGGTCCCGCTGCTACAGTGAGTCGTGAGTGTGGATGGACCTTACGGTTTGATTTACGCTTGCACCACGTACACGCTGAAGCTCAAGCTCACAAGACGCGACCCTACGACTTGATTGCGATTGCGCATCCGTGCGTGCGTGCGTGCGTGCGTGCGTGCTTGCGTGCTTGCATTCGGACGAGGCAAGAGGGACAATTATTGCAGTCAAAGGACGGAGAAGGGCGCCGCTTGCTCATCAAACCATCCCCATCCACGACGCAGCCAGCGAGCTTTCTTCTTTTTGTGTGGGCTTGGCAGTCAAGCGTGACAGGACAGGGGAAAGGTTTGGCAGTGTAGCGCGCGTCGCGGCAACACAGTGTGCATCATCGTCATCACACCATCCGCATCGTTTGAGGATCAGGATGAGCAGGGAAGCAGCAGCAGGTAGCAAATCCCATGCTTCCTCCCCGCCCACTTTCTCGCATCCGCACGCCGTCGCGCAGAAGCAGCCAAGCACACGGCTCTCTGCTGGTCCCGCCGAGAGGCCAAGAAGTGCAGCTCGCCGAATGGACGTCTGGCTGAGACGCATCTCTCACCTGTCCGCTTCCGCATTCGGCGTTTTTGTAATCCTACACATCAGCGCACCCGTCGTCGCTGCCATAGCGCCACCCAACTCTGCGCAAGAGTGGGCAGGCAAGACGATGGTGAGTCGCGCATCGAGCTTGCCTTGCCGGGGGAAATCACGTTCGGTTTTGCCCTGAGCGCTAAAGATGCGGGCGGATGTCTCATCGCGCGTGCGCATACACGCTGTGCAAGCGCATCTCTCTCCTCTTGATCGAACGGCCCTGCTGACACTCTTGCTTCTGTATCAGCTTCTGGGAAGAGTGTATTATCAGGGCGCATGGTCTGAGCCTGTGCTGGTCTGGGCAATGCTCGGAGCGCACATCAGCTCCTCGCTATCCAGGCGGCTATTGAGATCCACCGCTTCCACCACCTCCCCCGTCGCCCAGCGAATCAAGGCACCCTCATCGCACACCACCAGCGCAATCATCCTCCTACCCCTCCTCGCCCTTCATTCCCTCACCACTCGTCTGATCCCCGCACGAAAAGGCGTGTCCGAAGTGCTGGATCATTCTTTCGTAGCCAGGGGATTCCAAACATGGCCCTTGCTCAGTTGTGGCTCGTATGCAGCCCTGTTGGGCGCCATGCTGATTCACAGCATAGGTGGAGCACGTCGCATCTACTCGGCATGCAGACCGACCCTGCGCAATTGGAGACTCGGCCGTGCCTCGAACGCTGCTGCGTCAGATGCGCTGCTGCATCTAGCGCGCAAAGATGAAAGAGGAGCGCGAGCTCTGGCGAGAAAGACGGATGCGCGCATCAATGGCAAGAGAAGGAGCGACGCCACGTTGCTTGGAGCAGGAATCGCCTCGCTTTGGCTAGCTCTGGGATTGACAAGGATCGTAGCCGACGGCGCAGATTTGGGACCGGTCATGTTGGCAAAGGTGAGCTGCTGCTGCTGCGACCGACGTCGACGCATGGTTTTTGCGCTCCATTATTCTGACACGAATCGAGCCCCTCTCTCTCGCCGTCTTGCTGGCTGTGAAAGTACGACGCTTGCTATCTAGCCGTATGGCCTTACCGCGCAGTGCGCCGAGTCGGACGCTAGAAGCTCATCGATCATCCATTGAGCCAGATCCGCTTTGCCAACGCAACGACCACTCTCCCGTCAGCTGTAGTGATACCTTTTTCTGCTCACCGTCAGACAAGAAAAGTCTGCCCTGCCTTGCTGCTGCGACTTTGATATGTATCACGCCGCTCTTGTTCGGTATTGAAGGTCGTATGCCACTTGCGAACTCAATCGCCAAGCGCGGGCATCATCGTTTCGCGTTTACGTTTGCGATTGGGTTGGGCATGGCTTGCATCGCGGGCTGCAGAGTGCGGAGCGACATGAATGGGGGATCGGGAAACCTCGTCTTGAAGGGCGGCTTATCTGACAACGGCAAGGGGGGCGAAACCCTTGCATTGGGAGGAGCGGGAATGTTTGGGCAAGATGCGAGAGAAGGTTGGCTTGGTAGGACTGTTGTACTTGCACATCCACAAAGTCGCCGAGTAGTATTCCCGAGTCGGGGTGCAGCAGCCCTGCTTTCCATCGTGTATGGGTCATCTTTGTATCATCCCATCGCAAACATTTCAGGCGCCATGGCGTCTTGCAGGAATTTCCTTGGGAGGGGGGGAGCGTCAAAGCGCGAGCATGAGTTGTGGTTCGACGAGGAAGGCCTTCCTCGCGTGGCCTGATCCCCGGGGGGCTCACCTCGATTTCCTTTCGAAGAGCCTTCCAGTGCGTCCTCAAGCTGTCCTTCGTTCGCACGTGGCCCGAAGCTTGTTCTGAATGCCAGGTGGACGGGCGGCCGGGCGAGCGAGCGGCACGGGGTTGTTTTCCCAGGTGGAGGGATTCCAGCATGAGCGAAAAGCGCATAAAGTGGTCAGGAGAGATCTGAAGGAATAGCCCAAGACTCTTGCTCGGGTCTGTCCAGCCACACAGATTGCCTGTGCTCACCAATGTCGATAGCCAATGCGCTGCGAATCGCAAATGTAAAAGTCAACGAAGAGCGTGTTAGTCGCGAGTACGTTTGGCTCAGGACGACGTCGTGCACGTGCATGCGCGTATTTGTTGGCAATCACGAATGACGACGAGCCAGGTCGATCGACGCGGTGCGCGTGTCATGATGACGGACGACAAGATGGGGGAGCGATGGGAATTGGGGAGCAAAAAAATTCAAGCGATGGAAAGCTACGCAGCCTCACCTCCAGTCGGGTTTGAACTGATTCATGATCGCCTTGACCCAAACCTCATCTTCTTGTCTTGTCCAAGGCACGCTTTGCACTCCCCCTTTGCCCCCTCCCGCTGCCACCTCGCCCTTTGCCTTTTTGGGACTACGCTGCTGGACGCTGCAGGCTGCTGCTGCTGCTGCTGTGCGCGACTTGCACTTGATCGGTGTGGCTGGCACGGAGATGGAGGTTGAAGCTTTGTCTCGCAAGTCTTTGTTTGCTTCTTCTGCTTCTTCTTCTTCTTGCTTGCAGATGGACGAGGCTGCACGTTTGCGAGGGGAAGAGGAAGGCGTGGATGCATGGGTGGACATCGTGAAGCCCTTGAATGCAGACTGAATGGCCAGCTAGGGGATGCTTTGGGGGAGCGCGAACAAAGTGTGTATGGCGATTCCCAACTCCTTCGACGAGCCACGAGTCGCGAGTCGCGAGTCACGACTGCACTCGACAGTCACTGCGAAGATGGAGGATTGCGAGAGATGATCAAGACGGTTGGAGTACGGGTTAGGTACGGGTCGACATGCACTTGGACGGGAAACGCATTCATGCATGCGTGCGTGCACTTTGTCTCTCTGCCCCCCGAACCTCGACAAGCGCGAGCAGTCTGCGATAAAGAGACTCTTCGCCATCGAGCACCTCATCAGCACGCGCATCCTTGATTGACTGCATGCAGGGACTGCTATGCACAGACTCGAAAGATGGAAAAGAAGGAACAAGCTCATCTTCGTTCATCCACGAAGCTGCGCCTTGAACATCTCGGTTCGATCACGAATGGACCAATCAACATGCCTGCAGGATGGCGCGTGTTGTTTGAATCTTTCTGCGCGGGCAGCAGACAGAGCGCGGCAAATTGGTGGTGCGCGTGCGCGTTCTTTGGCCGTTTTTGCGCGCACGCGGGCCATGCTGTCTGGCGTCTACTATAAGATTACAAATTGCTTTGTGACAACGAACGAATCACGAATGTTGAATGTGATGAAACGTCGAGCATGCAATTAAGCGTCTGTCTCATCCAAGTTGGAGAGTAATTTCTCGCCATGAAGCAGCGTGCACCAGTCAGTCGTGAGTACGAAGCACTCGGCGTACTTTACGGGCTGTCGTGAAAGTCATTCACGATTTGTCGCTGTCGACATGCAATCACAGATGCTATGCAGAACATCATCCATGTCATCGTGATAGCTTCTGTGCCCCGTACCATGCATCTCTGCGCTGGAGATCGCGGGGGGCGTAGCTTTTGCAGAGAAGAGATTCGACGAGCCCATGCGAGAGCAAATGAAACACAAACGACACGCCGGTAACGTTGATTTCAGAGTACGCCAGCAGACGATATGGGTGTGAATGATGACCGAGATGATCTGCTGATGGTTACATACAGCAGCGCAATGCGCCGAGCGGCTTCGTTTTGCCTTCTCGGCTCGCGTGCGCGTCAGTTTGGGATGCATCACATCACGCAAACCAATCTAGTGGCCCATATCTAGCGACATTGACCTTCACCCATGACGACGTCTAACCACGTCCTTTGCCGTCGAATCAAGACCACAATTAAGTGCGGGGACATGACGGGGACAAGAGCACCAGGATGTCGTCAGAATAGAGAAAGCGAACCATCTGCGGCTCGCGATTCCCTTCCCATGTATGCTCACCTCGATATCCTTTCGAAGCGATTTCCAGTGCGTTCGCATGCTGCTGTCTGCGCGCTTCACTCCGCACTGTTCCTCTGCAAAAGGCATCGACAGGCTTCGGACGTGAGCAATGTCCCTGCCCAAACGTCGGGGAGCGCTTTACTCACCCAGCTTGCTAGATAGAGCGCTGCGAATCGGGAGGGAGGTGAAAGTGCCTCACGACACGTCAGCTGCCTCGTCTGGTCATTCGCCTTTGTGCTGTGACGACTGCATAGCCCCGGTCCGCCCGAACGCGGATTAAATTCCCACTTGCCTCTCATCTCCAGCACCCTCGCTCACCCAAAATTAGGTTTGTATTGCTCCAGCATATCCCTGATCCACAACTCATCCTCCTCTCTGGACCAAGCCACACCGCTTCCCGCACCCACGCCTCCTTCCACTCTGGGCTTTTTGGGACTTTTGCTGCTGGGCGGACTTTTAGCAGCGCTGTTGTTGTTGTTGCGCTTTGTCCGACATGGCGTCGACGCGACCTCGTTCGTCTCGCTCTGCTTGCACTCCACATCCTCCACCACCTTCACATCGGTAGCTTTGCGCTTGCTTGGCGTCCAAGGCGTCGACATTGTGAGTCTGCCCTCTGGTGAGAGGGGACAGCAAAGGCGCGAAATGGATGGAGATGTCAATAAAGCCCTGGATCTCGTGGATGCAGTCAACAGTGGCAGGTAGAGCGGCCGTGCAACGACGATCTGGGCACGCTCGTCGGGGTTGGGATGGTGGAACTTGGCACGATTGCAAAGCCCAGAAAGCCTTTCAAGGCATCCATCATCAGGTCTTCATAGAGAATAAGGGCCAAGGACGGGAGAGAGCTCCTCCAGTGTAATCGTACGTGACTCACAAATGCTGCGTGTCGTTCGCAGAGACAGGCTGGATGCCGCAATCAACATCACACGCTCTCAGCTGCGCCCACGCCCAACGCACACTCGATCGTGACTGTTTCACGCAGACAAGAACAAGTTGCCGTGCAACGTACGTACGTCTGACACGCGATTGCGCCAAGTGCGAAATCGAAAATCACAGCCAGCACTCGCGACTGAAAGTGCGGCATGGCATATATGCATGCAGGCTGGTGGTGAGTCAATCATGTAAGTCACTCCACTCACTCACGACTGTCACAATCATAAGCATCATGCAATGCTGCGGCGAAGCGTAGCGGGCCCATATGTCGCCGCTTGGCCGCCCGCGTACGTGACTCAGACTCGATCTGAACCGCCCGAGGTGCGCGCGCGCATCATCTGTCTCGCCTTTGGATCACTTGCGAGTGCTCCATCGCGATTCGCTGGTCGCCGGATCGCGTATCGCAGCCCCGTGTGACCACGCGCAATCACGAATGGCGATCGACGCTGCGTCTTGCACGATCCATCGTTTCCCGAAGCAGCTAGGTCGGCCTCCTCAGCATCATCAGCTTGACACGCGCCAAATCACATTCCGCTCGCTGCATGGCGGCGGTGACGCATGAAATAGGTGGAGCAAGCAACTGATGGCCGATCGCATCGCGCGGAGCCGATATCTTTACCTCATAAGTGACAAAGGCGGGGGGAGGGGGTGGGGGGAAAGAAGGGTCTTTTTGAAACGTAGCTGAATGGAAAATGGCTGCGTGTGAATGGTGTAGATGAAGTGCGCAGCGAGGTCAATTGGATTCGAAGCGAGCAATCTCGTATGGACCTCGCGCCGCACTGCTGCTGACAATCGAATGCCAAAGACTAGATGTGCGTGCTCCTGGCATAAGCAGGAGAAGCGTGATCGTACTCTTGAACAAAGATTCGCTTTTGATTCTTTGCCATGAAGCTGTCTCCAACGTGATGCGCATCTGGATCAGTGCGAGAGCTCGGCACGAGCGTCTTGGTTGCGCGCGCCAACACTCACCCCAAGAATTCGGACAAGTGCTCGCGCAGCAGGCTGACAGAATCCGCATCCATCGTTGTGTGCGCGATGATACCCGGCAGGTTCACTGCCGAACAAGCGAGAGAGCAAGGTGCTCAAATCAGAATACAAACACAACGCCAGCGCCAAACCACTCACCGAACAATCTCAGTAAATGCTCGGCGCCGTAGCACTCGCTGGGCTCCAGCTCTACAGGAGACTCATTGGCGGCACTAGCGGCAGCAGCAGCAGCAGCCTTGCCATTGACCGCCGTAGAAGCGTGTCTTTTCCTGAGCTCCACGTATTGCGCCCGCTCAAAGCGATACAGCAGATTGTTGCCCAAAGACTTGTCAAAGTAGAGCTTGAGACCCGACAGGACCTCATCCACCACTGCCGGCAGACGTCTGCGTCACGAGGAAAGGGTGGAACTGACGTCAGGCTTCACAGCCTCACAGCACAAGGGGGATGCGCGATCCTGACTTGCGCCTTGCTCACCCGGCCTTTTCTTTTCGCCCCTGCATGTAGTACTCCTTGTACTCGTCGAGCAAATCGCCCACTGTGGGCTTGCGAGGTAGGGGTACAAGCTGAGGGGCAGAACGTGTGCGATCAGCGCGCGCGCGCGCCCTTTTCTACGTAAGAAGCTCGCCTGACGGTGGACGCACCTGACCCTTCTTTGTGATGTTCTCCCAATCATCGACCAGCTGCAGCTTCAGAGCGTCCGGAATGACGAGCTTAATCTCTGGTCGCTTGACATACTCGTCCTCCTGCGAATGCGTGCGCGAGAGTGCGTGATCAGCCAGCCTGGCCAAGTTCCATCATAGCTCAAGCTCGCGCTGACGCTGACGCTGACGATCTCCACTCACATTCTCCACAGTGTCCCTGCCCCTCTTTGTACCTCTGGACTCTTTCTTTGATCGAGCTGCACCCTCGCCATCTCCATCAGCGCCGCCGCTCCTTCTACCGCCTGCTGCCGCTCTGCTACTAGGTCCAGCATCATTGGCAGCGGCAGCGGCAGCGGCAGCGGCAGCAGCAGCAGCAGCAGCTTTGGATTTGCGAGCTTCGATCAAAGCTTTTTGCTTCCCCTTGTTCTCCTCGTTGAGCTTCAGCAGACGAGATTCCGGCACCCACTCGTCCCACCTACGGGGGTGAAGAGCAGGTCTTTGAGCGCGAGGCGAGGAGCATGGCCATGGCCTCCTCGAGAGAGAGAGAGAGAGCCTGCAGCGCGCTTTCCTACACTCACGACTTTTTCCAGCCATCGTAGTGCACGAAAAAGTGTGGACCCGTCGCTCCCTGCGTATTCTCATCTCCTGTCCACTTCTCCGCCTTGAGCACCTGGACGACGGGCGCAAGTGTTGAACATTGTTCAGCAAAGGGGGGCGCGAGAACGCGGCGCACGCAAAAGAATCCATCAAAGCGAGATGCTTCCCCAGCAACACACCTTGGCTTGGTATATCAAGGGACCATGAAAACACAGCACCTTTTCGTCGACTGCGTACAGCATGACTGTTCCTCCAAGCTGACGTCCTTGAGCCTCTCGTCTTGCCACACTCTTGAGCTGTTGGCCGCTAGCGGAAGCGAGAGCAGAGGTTGGCGGATGTGCAGGCAGATGCCGCTTGTGTGGGATGGATGGATGGATGGATGGATGGATGGATGGATGACCACGCGTGACTCCGTGACTACCAGTGATCCCTCGAATGTCGTCTCGGGTGCTCCAATGGCAAAAAGCTTAAATCGCGAATCACGAATGGTGAATTCGTGATTGTCTTGGCATACGCGTACGCGCACGATCGAGGGAGAAAGTGATTCACGAGGCAGTCCGCACGCACATCATCCGCAACGAAGAGAAGCTGCAAGCGAGCGCGATCCAGCAGCTACGCGCGCTACGCTACACCCGCGTTGCCGCCCATGCGTCGCGTCCGCGCGCGCGCGCGCGTGAACTCAAAACCTGCCAAACCGCGCGCGCTTATTCTGCATGCGCCACGCCGCGCGCGCGCACTGACCATGCATGCAATCAAACTCACACATCATACGCGCGCACCGGCCTGCGCCATCCAGCATCACCGCGCGGTCAACAACAACATCATGATCAGCAGCACCAGCAGCACGAGCAGCACGAGCATGCAGGATCACGCTCGAATGCTCGACATCCTGTCACGAATCGCAGGGGTATTTGGGGATTACGCGGACGCCTGATGCCTCGTCGGGTCGTGCCGGCTGATGCGTCCGGTGAACACGCACGTCGAGAAAAGCACGAGTCACAAAACTCGAGACTCGCAAAAGTGAAGCTGCATGGAGGGGGGGAACTAGCCAGCGAGCCATTTTGGCCTGCTGCTGCTTGCTGATGCAAGGGCGTCCCACGCTCAACACAAGCCCCGCCTTTTCCCCTGCCTGCCTGCCCAATCAAGACGTGCTGCGCTGCATGCGCGACACAAAGTTTCATCCGAGGGCGACAGAGGGCCCACGGCGCTCTCGAGTCTGATCCTACCCTGCCACTCACATCCCGCCCGGGCACGGAGCGAGAGATGAGCGGAGTGTCGGTGTCGGTATCGGTACAGTGACCAGGATGACGACGGTCTCAGGATGGCCAGCCAGCGCGCAAATGTCGAGGCTTGCGCAGGCCACTCTCATCCGACCGCGCTCGTCTGGCCCGACGAGGGACGAGGACACGTCCCGCATGGTTGGCTCATATCGTGCGGCAAACAGCACAACGTCCCAAATCGACTCTAGTCCACCCATCGTGAATGTGGAACGTCTCACGGCTTTTGCTTCCCCCTGCTCCGGGGCCATCGCTTTTGCGACTCGCGCGGAGAGCCCCAACGTGACGAAGCGATGCAGTCCACGTCTGCTTGCGACAGTGCACGATAAAAAGCAGTGATACAATTACTCTGCGGACGACAAAGACTAGTGCTGTGCTAGAGGGTTGAAGAAAAGGCAAAAGGCGCCCGAGAGCGAGGCGAGATTTTGAGTGGCGGGGCGTTACGATGAGCGCGCTTTCATGGGGAGGGGTGCGAAGAGTGGCGGGGCGGTACGATGAGCGCGCTTTCACGGGGAGGGGTGCAAAGAGTAGACGTTGACGAGGCGGACAGTGCGAAAGCAGAGCGCGTTTTCACGGGGAGGGGTGCAAAGAGTTGACGTTGACGATGCGTGTCAAACGCTGCCAGCATAACGGATAGCATCGGCGGTCCAGCTCCTCGTACCGCCTTCCCGCGCCCCTTTTTCATCGCACGTGCCATCTTTCGCTGCACGCACGCACAGGCTCTTCTCGGACATGTGCGCTTCTCGCAAAGCGATCAGGCCTCTAGAGATGGCCGCATGTAGCTGCTCAAGTGAGTTTGAGGTGCCGGGCGTGACGCAGAGCGCCGTTGGAGGCGATGCCACACTAGTGCTTGGCTGCAACGTAAGGCCAAGGGCGCGAGGCGAGCAGGACACGTCCTCTTCCTGAGGTCGATTTCGCTCGCGCACAGTCCCTCGTGTCGGACCGCAGCCAATGTGATTGTCATTCATCGCGGTCCCTTGGCCTTGGCCAAAATAATGCACCTGTCTGTCGGAAGGTGATGTGCTAGCTGAGCTAGGCTCCTCTGCTGGTGTCACCGCGCCCCCCACCAAACTGGGCCCTGAAGGCTGTCGTTGGCTGGCTTCTAGGCGCGCAAAGTTGCTCACCGGCAACGGCACTCCAGCGTCCTGAGCTGCCGATGCGATAGAACCCTGGCTCAGCTCAGCGCCCAGTCTTGGGCTCAAAATCGAAGCTGCGCTGCGCTGCACCACATCACCAAGTGTCGGTCTGCCAGTGATGCTTTTGCGACGGCCGTGGCTCTTGGAGGTGCCGGGTGTAGCTGTGGCGCCCGTGCTGGAGCTTGGCTCGTCTACGCGCTGGGACTGACTTTGCGTGAGCGCATATTCGCAACGAAGCCCACGTCTCTCGCATTGACGACACGGTTCAGCTTGATCGCAGCGAAGCTTGCGTTTGCGGCAGAGCACGCAAGCGATGGAAGCGCGCTTGTCGGACTCGTTGAAAAAGTTTGCGGTGGTGGTGATGCTAGCAGTGGGCGATCCTTGGAATGTCAGGTCGCCGGTGCTGTTCCTCGCCATTTCTGGCGACTGCGACGATGCCGAGTCGGCTCTCAGAGGCTGAGAGCTGCTGGTCCCGATCGTAGAGAAACGGCGCATGGAACGGGAAGCAGAGCCGCTTTCGATTTGCGTCGAGGACGAGACGGCGGACATGGTAGGAGCTCTGGCACGCCGCACTCCTTTGCGACCGCTCTTGCTCCGCACAGGCGCGGCAGGCCCGGACTGAAATTGGGGGCGCTCAGCTTGAGAGTAGAATGCGCTACTGAGGTCTAGGGTCGGCGGGGAGACTCCTTCTGAAGACCACTGCTCGGCGGGGGAGCCGCTCCAACGCTGGCTGCCTGATGGTGCAGCGTACGCGCTGGCAGATTGCTCAGTCAACGGAGAGGCTGGCGGAGCCTGATCAAGACTGGCGCCGCCCCCAGATGGGCTGTGCCAGATCGATTCGGGCATTCCGTAGAATCCCAAGCCGGTCACCGGTGCGGGCGCCTGCGGAGCTTGAGCTCTCCAATTCCGGGCAAACGGATTCAGAGTCCCTCGCTGGTCATCGTCGATGTAGGCATGAGAGCTGGACAGGACAGGATAAGCTGCTAGAACACCTGACGACGTGTCTGCGCTCCTGCTGCCAGGTAGCTCGGGAACCCGAAACTGGCGCCAGAGGTTGGACACATCTTGGTGAAGCACCGGCTGGCCCGCATCTGTGTACGAGGCGATCGTCGATGCCCGCTGCGGGTCGGCAGTAGGAGACATTGGCCACTCTGGGCGTGAGGATGGATAGGCGGTCGAGGGGGATGGATGAGTTTGTCGAGTCTGCAAGAGCTGCGAATGCCCACCAAATTGCTCGGGAATGATTGGCAAGCCTGCGGGCTGCGTTGGGGTCACGCTTTCGACGTACGACTGCGAGACTCTGTGCTCTGGATAGTGCTGTTGATGAGCCCACAACATACCCGAAGCATGATTTTGCAAAGATGGATCGTGATACAAGTTGAGATTGGCCGGTGACGCTTGTGACGCTTCATCGAGGTTTACCGGGGCATGCGAGACATCCAACGTGGTCGACAAGGCGGCGTGTATGCGCCTGCTGTCATCCGTCGTTGATGGATTTGAGCCGAGTCTGTGCCGCGCCTGGTGGTTGCCGCGCTCGCCAGGAGCAGACATGCTTCAAAGGGAGGCCGGCCAGGAGGAAGAGCGAGCCAGTGCTGGGATAGTCAATCGCACCAGACACCAGCTCGACTCTGCGACAGCAGCGATGGATCAGGGCGCCAACGTGACGTGAGCGAAGAGGAAGGAATAGAGGCGTATGACCGTGTTGGGCGGTGGAAGCCGCAGCGCAGCGCTCCTGCGGGGGAGAGTGGGGCGACGGGGGGTGATGAAGCACATTTCGAAAGGGAGGGGAGGCGAGCGTGGGCAACCTCTGCGCGCCTTTTTTATGGCTGACTCGGCAAGGCACAAACGCACGCTTTCATTCAGGCCCGGGTGTTCAGTCTGTGAGTGCGCTCGAGCGCGGGCTGGCCTGACCTTCGTTTACGGAACCGGTTCCGGTCCCGATACCGCCATACGCGGTGCTCGTCATGAGGCGGGAAGAATAGCAGCAGCAGCAGCAGCAGCCCCACCTGCCCAATTCGTGATACAACCCAGAGGGTCTCATGCAGCGAGCGCACTGTTGGAGATAAATTTGCACAGCCATTCCTAAACTGTCCTCTTGACGTTGAGACCCTGCACTCGTCCACATGCAGTGCGCGCGAGCCTTGAGTGTGAACATCATCCTCCTCATCATCATCATCAATCACGAATTCAGCAGTGGATCGGTCAGTCATTTACCGTGCATGCATGCATGGCCAGCTTTCCCGGCCGCTATCAAGTTCGAGGCCCTCGTGCATACTCGTGCATACGGTGTTGTACATACGGTACATGCAGTGTGAGTACACAGCGTTTGCTTGTGAATTGACGAGAGGGTGCAGGCGAATCACGATTTCTTTGCATGAGCGGTACAAACTCGGTGGGCACGCGGGTTGGGTGGATGTGCTCTCATGCAGTCCAAGTGCCTCCACGTCTTCCTTTTTCAAATCACTTCTACATATCATACAAAAGTCACTCACTCGGTAGTCTGTGCAGCGGAGCATTCTTTTGCACGTGCATCTGCGTGCAGCTAAGCTTCCAAACCCGGCCTGTGCGGCGGAATAACAGCTCGGACCGACCCTTCCCACAGCTCGGACCGACCTCAGACACGCTGGGCGTAGTCACAAGTGTGCATGAGTGGGCACACTCCCACTCAACTCACGGCTGACCATGCACAGCCAGCATCCACTCGATCGTGCGGTGGTATCAGTTTAGCTTCTTGCAACGGAGCCGGGCAGCCCTCCGGCCGTCTACCCATGTTTCACTCTTCGGCTACAACGAGACCATGCAGTCACGAGTACACAAACAGATCACCGCGTCATGTCCACGCGCATGCAGCTATTCCTCACGAGTTGAGCGATGGATCAGCAGGACGTTTATGCATGCAGCCAGCACACGCTCAATCATCAGCGTCCCAAGGATCGCAGGAGATGTCTTTGTGGCGCTTCCGGGTGCAACCACATGAAAGCTGTCGCTGCTGCTCCTGCTGCGAGCCCGTGCTCGGAGCCCGTGCTGGACGAGTCGCGGGGGCGAACTTACGACGTAGTCCCTGCATTGGTCTGCCATCCACACAGCTTGGAACAGCATCGCAAAACACGATTTTGTGACTGACGCGTGCTGCTGCCTACCGTAACAGAGTAGCTGCTGTGGGGCCCATCAGTGCCCGGCTGCCTAGCTATAATCGCAGAGCCGACCCTTCTCGCGCCAATCCAGCCCATCCCTGGACGACTGACGCGTTGCACGAAGGATGGCAGCTACGCGTAGTCGCTCAATCGATGCAAGTTCGAATTTCACATTGAGGACGCGGGCAGGGATCGGGCGCTATGTTTGTGAGAATCCTCGTCATGCATACAGTAGCTACAGCAGAGAGTGGCCTGCACCCGCTCGCTCAACGCAGACCAAGGCGGAGTCTCAAAATTTAAGCTTTGAAAAGCAACTCATCAGAGCAGCTGATACTGCGCGCGCGCGAGAGAGAAGCGCCACTCACCCGTTGCTCTGGTCTGTCCGTCGGGGTTCCCATATCACACATGGACTGTAGCTCAGCTAGCAACGTGCCAATGATGCACAAAGGATTCGTGAGTGCGAAGCGAAGGAAAGGAAACGGGGCCGAAGCTGCCGCCTCGCTGCGCCCATGCAAGCACGAGCAAAATTCGGGGCAAACGAGCAGAGTGCATGCTGACGATGAGGATGCCCTTGCGATGCCATGGATGGACCGGTCCCTCCATGCTTGCTCCTCACATCACCGCAGAGAGCCTTGCAGTGTCAGCGCATAATAGGTTAGCGCAAGACCGCCCTGCAATATGGGTATGTGGCGTTCTGCTGAGTGCAAGGCCGATGCATCGCACTCACTTACAGTAGTACACCCACCGTACGCGCTCGGGCTGCCTCAGAGGCCGTGCAATAGCGATCCCTTTTTGCTTATGACCGAGTGAGGTAAGCCACGCTCTAAGCGAAGGAATGTCACGCGAACCACGCTGTCTGGCCCGCCCACGAGTCGTGAGTGCATGGCGGGCGGCACGAGTGTCAAAGATGGCGCGCATGAATGGACATGCCATTCCCGAGTTGCGATATGGCCGCCGTGAAATAGGTGCCAGCAGCAAGCGAGGGAACATCCCGGACACGCAGTTCGGTGCATGTGCAACTGTATATACACTCGTGACTCTTGACTCACAACAGACTGTACGGTACATACGGTACAGTAGCCGAGCTTGCATGCATGCGCGCTGATAAAGCTCCTAGCATGCAGCTGCCATGCACTCATCCACAACCTAACTGCATGGGCAGTATAGCAGCCGCACAGCACCCTACTCATCACCAGCAGCATGCGAGCACGCGCATGGAACTCGTCGTGACTGTGTGCACAGATGTGCTTGATTTTTCAGCAGAGCTACGTTGATCGCGGATGCCGCGGTGAATCTGAGCTTCGTTCTTCTAATCAAGACTAACAATGTACATCCCCCGATCATGCAGTCCAAACTTGCTGTACACGCACCCACAACTCGCGCGCGTGGCCGCGTGGCTATTTACATCACGTACACCCCATGCACGCACGAGCAGAAGCTTCGGCTGCCTCTTTCCTGACTTGCGGACGTCCGCGGGCAAGCCCATCCAGATTCTCTTGGCGGGTTTGCGTGCAGATCACTCGGAACTCCCGGCTACAGCCTGTAGATATGATTGCTTTACGTTTCAAGTGGCTCTAACGTCTGCTCTGCGCGCCGAAATAGAGACATGACGACTGCTGCTGTGCTTTTTTTCTGAGCTGCATTCACGATTCACGATTCACGCTTCACGATTCGAGCTCGATCGGCAGGTCGAACCTACAGCATATACCGCGTGCGCGCGCGCGTGCGCCAAGAGCGATCCCTGATGCCCTCCCTGCTCTTCGCCGCGGCTCAACCGTGCGACATGGCATGGCATGGCTCGCGCTGTTGCTGCTGCAGCACAGCACACACATGCGTGCTCATCTCGTTTATTCGCACGTGCCAGGTAGCTAGCTAGCTAGCTGCATGCTCGCGGTAAAAAGGAAAGCTCCATGTTTTCTAGGCTCGGACCTTGGAGATTGATCCAGATGGCGAAGCGAAGATCTCGCTCGAGGAAACGAACGCACGCCATCACGGCGCGGGCCCATGTGATCGGGCTCGATCGCTCTTTTTGCTGTTCGCCGAGCAGATCGCGACAATCGTCATACAGGAATTGGCACCCTGATTTCCGTGCTGGACTATACGCCCGCCCCCTCGTGACGAGGCGACCACGCAAAAAAAAAGTTTTTTTTTTTTTTTTGCGCCTTCCTTCGGCACACAAAGCTCGTTTGAGCGCATCGGTCGGCTGAGGCTTGCATGCATGCATGCAACCTTTTCCCATCATTAAGGTTCACAAACACGCCAATGTCGGTCTTTTCGCCACAAAGTCCCCCCCCGTCCGCCGTGCCTGGAAGCGAGCGCATCCACAGCAGCTATACAGTAGTCAGTGCCGTACATACATGGCAACGGTTAGGGCCATTCGTCAGCTAGAGTCACGAGTGTCGGGGGCCCCGTGCGGTGTCGTTGACCGGCTTGCCGCCGCAATGGCACCAACAATACGAGCAAGCGAGCCGGACGGACGCTGCTGCAGCACAAGAAATCGTCCGCGTAGATAACGTGCCGTTAATCCTCGCCTCGTCTCGTCTCGCCTCGCTTCACGTACCGTACTGTATAGGCACACAGCAAGTGTCCGCGTCCGCGTCCGCGTCCGCCCCGCCACAACTTCACAATCACGAAGGGCCGATCTTCGCATTCACCACGCATACACCACATCTCATTCGTCCCCCTTGCTTTCTGCGGTCTACGTGGGGCCAGGCCGAGCGAGCGATTTGTGAGCGAATCCGCAGACCGATTCGTTGGTCCGCAAGCCAAGC